TATCTAAAAAATTTTTGTCTAACTCAAGGTTACAGATTTTTTCTCATATGTTTTTTCTAGAAGTTCTCTAGTTTCATGTTTTGCATTTAGGGATCTTATCTATTTTGAGTTGATATGTGTGTATGGTGTGAGATAGGGACAAAATTCATGTTTTTGCATTTAAATATCTAATGTGCCAGCACTATTTTTGAAAAGCCTATCCTCTTGCTCTGAATAGTCTTTGAAAAGTTGTTGAAATCCTCTGACTATACATCATAAGACTATATAAATAATTGGAATGTATATATATATTTCTGCTCTGTTTGTTCCATTTATCTATCTTTGTCCTTCATTATTTCTATATACCAGACAGTGTCTTGGGGCTTCCCAGGTGGCGCTAGTGGTAAAGAACCCGCCTGCCAATGTAGGAGATGTAAGAGATCAGGCCTAGTTCAATCCCTGGGTCAGGAAGATCCCCTGGAAGAGGGCAGGGCAACCCACTCCAATATTCTTGTCTGGAGAAATACATGGACAGAGGATCCTGGTAGGCTACTGTCCATAGGGCCAGAAAAAGTCAGACACGACTGAAACAACTTAGCACACACAAAATAGTGTCTTATTTGCTATTTGTAAGTCTAGAAATCAGGTAATGTAATTTATCTAACTTTATTTTTTTTCCAAAGTTGTTGTTGAAACTTTGATCAGTTACATTTTCACATGAATCTTAGAATAAGCTTATCAATTTAAAAAATGCCTTTTGGGATTTTGCTTAGAATTGGAATTGACTTAATTCTGTAGATCAGTTTGGAGAGAAACAACATCTGAACAATATTGAACATGGTAAAATTTGCTCCACTTATCCTAGTTTCTTAAGATGAAAATATAGACATTCATTTAGGGCTTATTTTATATTTCTCACTAAGAGTTTTTGTTTTCAATGTACCTATCTTACAAATCTTAAGCAGATTTATCCTTAAATATTTAATATATTTTTATGCGTTTGCAAATTGTATTTTATTTCAGTTTCAAATTGTTCCTTCATACTACATAGAAATACAGTTGGTTTTTGTATATTCATCTTGTATCATGCTACATTGTTAAACCATTTATTGGTTCTGCTAGCTTTTTTTTTTTTCTTAAAGGTTTAATCAGATTTTCTCCATAGAGGATCATGTCATCTGCAAGTGAAAACACTTTTATTCTTCCTTTCTAATCTGGAGATTCAGTTTACTTTTTGCTTGCTTTTTTTTTAAACCTGGGCTAGAACCTCTGGGATGATGTTGAATAGAAATTGTGAGAGCAAACATTTGGTCTTTAAGCATTAAATATGTTTTATTAATAGCTGTAAATATTTTGTAGGTGTCCTTTGCCAGCTTGAGAAAGTTCTCTTTTATACCAGGTTTGCTATGAGTTTCATTAGGAATAGATATTTAAGTTTTTCAATGCTTTTTTGATATCATTTGAAATATTTTATGTCATTTTTTTCTTTAGTCTGTTAATAGGTGGATTACATTGATTAATTTTTGAATATTAGCCCAACTGTGCATTTTTGAGATAAGTCACATTTGATCATGATGTATTTTCCTTTCAACAGGCTGTTGGATTAATTTGCTAAACTTTAGTGTATAATTTTTACATTTATATTTATAAATGATATTGATATATAATTTTGCTTCCTTATGAGTTATTAATGTGGAGTTAATGGAATGAATTGGGAAATATTTACCTCTCTTCAATTTTTTTTTGAAGAGTGTGCTGAATTGGTATTATTTATTGCTTAAATATTTGGAAGAATTCACCAGGGAAGTTTTCCAGACCTAGAGTTTTGTGTATGGGAAAGCTTTTAAATTACAAATTCAGTTTCTTCAAAAGATATAGGACTGTTCGTGTTATTTATTTTTTATTGAGTGTACTTTTCTATCTTTCAGAAAATATGTGTATTTCATCTGAGTTGTTGAATTTATTGGCATAAGGTTGTTGATAACATTTTCTTATCCTTTTAACATTTGTAGAATCTCGAGTGAAGACAACTCACTCATTACTGATATTGGTAATTTGTGTTTTCTCTCTTTTTTTTCTCCTGATCTGTTGACTAGAGGTGTATCTATTTTATCTCTTTCTGAAAAACCAGCTTTTGGTTTTATTTATTTCATCTTTTTATTTTTTGTTTTCTATTCTTTTTAATGTCTCTGATTTTCTTCTGCTTACTTTGGGTTTAATTTTCTTTTTTCTAGTTCTTTACGGTGAAAGCAGAGACCATTCTTTTTAATGTAGTTGGTTAATGCTATAACATTTCTTCTAACTATTGCTTTAGCTGCATCCTGCAACTATCAAATGTTGTATTTTAAATTTTCATTCTGTATAAAATACTTTCAAATTTCCCATTTTATTTCTTTTTTTTGACCCTAGCGTTATTTAGAAGTATGGTGTATAGTTTTGAAACTTTTGGGGATTTTCCATAGAACTTTTGTTATTCATTTGGAATTCAATTTCACTGTGGTAGGAGAACATACTTTGTGTGACTTGAATTCTTGTGAATTCATTGAGACTTATTTAGTGCCCCTAAATTAGGATAGTTTTGTGAAGTGAATGTTCTAACTAATAAAAATAAATGAAAAAAAAAAACTGTCCCAATCGAGCATTTGAAAATAATGGTTTTCTGCTCTTGTAGGGTGGAATCTTATGAAATGTCAGTTAAGACAAGTTTTCTGATAGTGTTTTTAATCTTCTATGTCCTTACAGGTTTTCGGTTTACATGTGTCAGTTATTGAGAGTAGACTGTTGAAATCTTCAGTTACAATTTGTTTATTTCTCTCTCTCTGTCTCTCTTTTTTTTTCCAGATCTGAAATTTTTCATTCATATATTTTAAAGCTCTGTTTTAGGCATATAAAAGTTTAGGATTATAATGTTGTCTGGATTATTATGAAATAGCCTCTGTTAATAGCCTTTGTTAATATTCTTTGCTCTAAAATCTACTTTTATAATATGAATATAGCTATTCCGACTTTCTTTTGCCTAGTGTTACAATGATTTATATATATATATATATATTCCCTCTTTCACCTTTAAGTTGTTTACGTCGTTATGTTTAAAGTGAACTTCTTATAGGTAGCATACAATTGAGTCTTGGATTTTTTAATGCAATCCAATATTATCTGTCTTTTAAGTGAGGTGTTTAGACCATTTATTTTTAATGTGATTATTGAGATCATTGGTTTTAAATAGATTAGTATTCTGTTGCATACTCAAAGAGGACTCTGCAGATTTCTCGAGTTCTTTCTCTGTAGTGCTATCCTCTCTCTGTCTTGAGAACTTCTGCCACTTTGGCCTTTCCAGATTCCCAACTCTTATCTCCTCAACTCAGAAAGAATGCTGGGTTGCTCTCGGGCTCCCTTTCCATGTGTTGAGGCTTGGAAATTTTCTCTAGGTGGTAAACTGGGTCAAACATAGGACTCATTTTGTTTCTTGTCTGTCAGAGATGACTGTTGTTCATTTGCTAATTTCTAATGTCTTGAAAAATAGTTTGGTTATTTTATACCCAGTTTTTAATTGTGATGGGAGGGTAAATTTGGCCCCAGTTTTCAAGGACTGATTATTTTGGCCACAGTACTTCATGAATGGTGATATATACTTTCAGCAGTGGGTAAATAATATGTTTGTCTCTTTTTTGTGTAAACAGTAAAAACAGTGACTGACTTTATTTTTCTGGGCTTCAAAATCACTGCAGATGGTGATTGCAGCCATGAAATTAAAAGATGCTTGCTCTTTGGAAGGAAAGTTATGACCAACCTAGACAGCATATTAAAAAGCAGAGACATTACTTTGCCAACAAAGGTCCATCTAGTCAAGGCTATGGTTTTTCCAGTGGTCATGTATGGATGTGAGAGTTAGACTATACAGAAAGCTGAGCAGTGAAGAATTGATGCTTTTGAACTGTGGTGTTGGAGAAGACTGTTGAGAGTCCCTTGGACTGCAAGGAGATTCAACCAGTCCATCCTAAAGGAGATCAGTCCTGGTTGTTCATTGGAAGAACTGATGCTGAAGCTGAAACTCCAATACTTTGGCCACCTGATATGAAGAGCTGACTCATTTGAAAAGACCCTGATGATGCTGGGAAAGATTGAGGGAAGGAGGAGAAGGGGATGACAGAGGATGAGATGGTTGGATGGCATCACCGACTCAATGGACATGGATTTGTGTGGACTGCAGGAGTTGGTGATGGACAGGGAGCCTGGTGTGCTGCAGTTCATGGGATTGCAGAGTTGGACACGACTGAGCGATTGAACTGAACTGAACTTTTTTGTGTGACTGTAATAGCTATTGATAGTCAATACTCAGATCCATTCATTCATTGGAAGTTGAAAAATGATGGCTTTAAGGCTTTCTTCAATTTTTTAGCTGGCATATTTATGTACAGAGAATATTCCCCTTATTTACCTTGATTATGTGGTACAGTTCAGTAGGATCATTAGAGTAAATGCTTGATCCCTTGCCTTTGTTAGTGATTTTTAAAATACTGAGTTGATTCTCTAGAATTCTTCAGTAGTGAGCATTTGGCTTTTCTCTTTTGTTTTTAGTGTGAATATGAACATATGCCTTTAAATATATTTGATGTGTTTTACTCCATTGCAATTATTATCTTTTTTGATATTCAAATATTTTCATCTCTGGCCAGTGGTAGTCTCTTTAAGTTGGCTCTTATGTCCTTTTCATATAGCTCTCTAGTCACTGATAGTTTTTTTCTGGTGTGACAGATATTCTATGTTCATCTTGTGTATTTCTTGCCTCAGACCTAGAATGAACTAGTAGAAGAAAGGAAACTAAATGATTTTAGCATGTTTTTGTGAGGCAGAAATTTTAGCAATTGGAAGCAACTGTGGAAGTTAGTTAATATAGTCCACACATGGACTTCAGACTCGACTAGTGCCATAGAAAGTTATCATCAACTAAGCTTCCTATTTTAAACAGTAAGTATTTGCCTTGTGGTTTTGTAAGGTGATGTTTTTTCTTTTCTTTGTAGGCTTTGCCAAGCAGTCGGAAGATGATCAGGTGAATGTAATGGGTTTTCACTTCTTAGGAGGGTCCCAAGTTACGCTTCTTGCTTCCAAAACCTCTCGTAAGTAAAGCCATGATATTATTGCTTTTGAAAACTTCTATTAAGAACACTACATTACAGATCATTGCCACATCAAGGATTTCTATAATGGTGATGTTAGTTATTGAAAACTCAGGGCCATTATATTAGTTATGAAGATAGGGTCCTATTTTATTAGAGATATATAACTTTGGATTTGGGGATGAGGAGGGTTTGAGAGAGGAATTTAAAGACCTGAAAAATGTTTTTGAGATAGGTATATGGTAAACTAGATTTTAGGAGTTACTAGAAATTGGAGTTAATTTTTTTGTGTGTACATATTCTTATAGCCTCCTTTTGGACATTGGCAAAGATGAAAGTGAATAACTTGTTGAGATTAATCTCAATAGAATGAAAAGTACTAATTATATAGTCAAGTTTGAATTTCAGATAAATATTTGCTTTATTTATTTGTTTGCTTCATATGAGAATAATTGTTGAAACTACTCGAGGTACAGCTGATTTCTGGTGTATGTAGATAATGAAGCTACCAAGCTCACTGGGTTTTATTCCCTTTGTTGGAAATAAATTATTAGGAGAGGAAGTTTTAAATAAATTTTAGGTACAATAAGGATATCAGGGGAAATGAATACATATATATATATTCATTCATTCATGTATATATAAAGTGATGCCCAGAATTCTACATAGAGAATGTCCTTGGAGATGAAAGGTGATAGATATGAAGAAAGTACAGTTTTCTGGGTTTGAGGCAGATGTTGGTGCTCCCTACTGCTCTGTAAGCTTGTTCATCCCCAAAGGAGGAATGAAGTAATTTGTATCCAATATGTGTTTGACATTTTTTTTATGAAAGGCACACAGTCTTTCATCTCAAATCTGGATGGATAGAAAAACCCTACAAATGCAAGAACTCAGTATTTTTTTCTCTAACAATCAGTCAAATGCTGCAGTTATCATATATAGTTGTCATTAGATAGTATTTTATGTGCATTTTAAAACCTGCTTGATAATCAGCTGGTCTTGAAGTGTGCTATGTGGTAATTTTAGTTCAATTTGGCATAGAACAGCCAGAGCAGACAAGCAAATGAAACTCATTGTCTCAGGTATGCAGTCACATTCTCTGTGGAGCTGAATAGGTTTTTTACTTCAGGAAGTACAGTAAAGATTCGATGTAATTAGAGTTTATTATATGAGTTCTGAAAAAAACCTGCAAAGCTTTAAAGATAAAAATATTTAGGAAGAATACAGTAGCAAAACTGAAAATGATTTCCACAGACCTAAATTGAAAATAACACTGGTGATGGGTATGTACATTACCTTGAAGATAGTAATAGCTTTATAGGTATATGAATGTGTCCAAATTCATGAAATTGTAAATATTAAACATGTGTGTTTTTTATATATCAATGATACTTCTAGTAAGTTGTTAAAAATAACAAATGGGTCACATTTTATGAGAAATATTTTTATAATCAGAATTATAAAATATTTCCACATGGAAGTCAGTTATTTAGACTGGTTCAGTACAGTGGCGTTTCAGAAGAAATATGCTGTTGTCTATAATTATGTATTCCTGCCATGCCGCTTTCTTAAGATCCAGATCCACATTGTTATTTACTACCTCACACAGCAAACACTACCACCTTCCTGTCTCTCTTCCTTCCTGTTTCTTCTGTCTCGATGCTTTTCTTGATCTTTCTTATATATCTGCTTTTATCTTTTCCTCTACTTGTACCTTTTTTTTTTTCCTCTATTTGTTTTTTTTTCCCTCTATTTGTACCTTGCCTTGTTTCACTTGTTTCTTACAGTGTTTAAAATATATGTTAAAATTACTGAAGATTGAAGAATAAGATTAACATACAATTGATAAGATACTAGCAGCTTAGAAATAAAAGGAAAGCATTTTAGTTCCAATTTTCAGAATACTCTGAAGATCAAATCAAATCAGTTGTTTAGGAGATGCACAGCCTGATACTGAGTCCAGGAAGAAATTTCTCTTCTGAATATCACAAAAATAGCTTCTTCAATAATGTCTCTATAGCTTGTGTTTATACTTATAATTACTATACTTATGTAATTATACTTTGAATAAAAAATTTCATAGAACTTTAAAAATAGTGATGAAACTCAGCTTACTAAATATAATTCTATAAGAGTCCAAAGCAGTGCAGTCTAAGCTGCAGCTTAGTCCAAGGGTAAATTTAGAGTATCTATTATTAGTAGCACTACACATTTTTAGTAACTGGCGTTTTTGGTAATAATTTGACAATTAAACTCAGTAATTCTGAAGTAAAATGTAGCTGAAAGGAGTTGTGCATTTTGTTTTTAAATAAGCAATATTAGAACATATTAGTATTCTTGCCTGGAGAATTCCATGGAAAGAGGAACCTGGTGGGCTACAGTCCATGGAGTCACAAAGAGTCGGACACCACTGAGTAACTAACACTTTCACTTTTCACTTTCAGAACATATTTAAATATCAATTGAAATGAGTTAGTGGGAGAGGCTGATGATCAGGAAGCAGAAGGGCATCACAAAGCAATGAAGTCCTTTAGAAGGAGAGAGGGGATGGGATACAGAACTTGGAGGGTGAGGAGAGTTGAAAGTTTAGTGACAGGATATGGGTCTAGGGAGACTTTATAAATTTTGTTGACGAAAAGATAGGGGAGCTTTGCTGATCTTTAAATTTGAAAAAAAATAGTGTGACACTGGTTTCTTGGAAAATAAGGAAGCAAACTCGTGAAATATAAGCAATGATGAGTTCCCATTAGAAGTCTGAGATTCTGAATTTTGAAGTGAATCCAGTTATCCTTATAGATAATTTTGCCTAGCAGTGATTTGTTTTTTGTTGTCCAAACAACTAAAGCCAGGATTGGGATTTTGAAACAGAGAATTGCAGATAAAATATTTTTATGAGAATGATTGTAGTAATGAACTACCAAATCTAAGCTGAGAGAAATAAAGAGAAAAGTGATACATAGTGAGAAATTAACAAGTTCAATAGATCACATGTCTTGATCACACGTCAAGAAGTAGTGGGAGTTATAGAGCAAGTAAACCAGAAGCACAAAAGCTGGTGGTTATAGAATGAGTTAGGTGTTGATGTCAGGAGTTCAGAGAGACTCTATATCCTGATGACAGGCTCATCAAACAAGGTGTGACATTGGGGGAGTGGGTTGTAAAGATGGAAAGAAAACCAATGGAGACAAAGATTTCTAGGAAATGAAATGTCTCAGTTGTGGATATTGGAGGAGCTTGTTCAATGTTAGCACAATGAATGAGAAAAAGAAATACGTATGAACATATTATTGTGAAATTTTAGAGCACTAAGGATCAGGGGATATCTCCAAAGATTAGAAAGGAAAAAATAGTCACTCAAGGAAAATGAATCAAGAAGATATTTAACTTTTCAACAAAATTATTAGATACTAGTTTAGTTCAGTTCAGTCACTTGGTCATGTCTGACTCTTTGCGACCCCATAGACTGCAGCACACCAGGCTTCCCTGTCCATCACCAACTCCCGGAGCTTGCTCAAACTCATGTTCATTGAGTTGGTGATGCTATCCAACCATCTCATCCTCTCTTGTCTCCTTCTCCTCCCACCTTCAATCTTTTTCAGCATCAGGGTCTTTTCCAAAGAGTCAGTTCTTTGCATCAGGTAGCCAAAGTATTGGAGTTTTAGCTTCAGCATCAGTCCTTCTGATGAATATTCAGGACTGATTTCCATTAAGATTGATTGGTTTGATTTCCTTGCAGTCCAAGGGACTCTCAAGAGTCTTCTCCAAAACAACAGTTCAAAAGCATTAATTTTTCGGTGCTCAGCTTTCTTTATGGTCCAACTCTCACATCCATATATGACCACTGGAAAAACCATAGCTTTGACTAGACAGACCTTTGTTGGCGAAGTAATGTCTCTGCTTTTTAATATGCTGTCTAGGTTGGTCATAGCTTTTCTTCCAAAGAACAAGTATCTTTTAATTTAATAGCTGCTGTCACAATCTGCAGTGATTTTAGAGCCTAAGAAAACAAAGTCTCTCACTTTTCCCATTGTTTCCCCATCTATTTGCCATGAAGTGATGGGACCAGATGCCATGATCTTAGTTTTCTGAATGTTGAGCTTTAAGCCAACTTTTTCACTCTCCTCTTTCACTCTCATCAAGAGGCTCTTTAGTTTCTCTTTGCTTTCTGCCACAAGGGTAATGTCATCTGCGTATCTGAGGTTATTGATATTTATCCCGGCAATCTTGATTCTAGCCTTTGCTTCATCTAGCTTGGCTTTTCACATGATATACTCTGCATAAATTAAGTAAACAGGGTGACAATATACAGCCTTGATGTACTCCTTTCCCAATTTGAAACCTAGAGGACAATGGAAACGTTTTCCCTAAGATCTGAGAGAAATGATTTTCAACTTAGACTTCTGTAGCCTGCTAAACTGGTAATTAGCAATGAATGCTGAGTAAATACATCTTCTTAGTCTCACAAGTAGCACTAAGCAATTGCAAATAGCAAATTTATGTTGCCTCTGGTAGGCCTTTGGAATATGGAAAGGATAACTAATAACGCTAAACATTTCAGTATCCTGGAAGAGTCTAGCATGCTAGAAAGAGTGATTGAATTGAATAAGGTCAAGTTTAAAAGTCCTTTGCTTTTCCATTTTGATTATTTTGCTTTCACATATAATGAAAGAATTGTAGTCGTGTATGTGAGTAAGGGTTGAGCCTTGAAGAAGGCTTTCTTTTTGTATCTGTCAAAAGAAAGCATATGTGATGTTGAACTGTGTTAAAATATCTTCAGAAAAAAGAAAGTGAGAGTTTGCTCTACTCCGTCTGGCTGGACTGTGCACCTTTGCTCATTTTTCACTTAGCAGATGTCTTTATATCTAATACATCTCATGACTCTTGTGGAGCTCCTGCACTAATTGGAGAAACAAACAGGTAATGTACTGATTATAGAACACTTGATGTGCTTATAGAAGCACACTTTGGCTGCTACTAGATTCCAAAAGAATGAGGTTCCA